AACAAGAAAGGAAACTAACTTCGGCACGCCGAAGTTTGTATACCCTTGCAGATATTATTTCATTACATTCCCAGTTTTACATTTTCTCTACATCTACCGATCGGTTTATATGGCAGCTATATGATATAGTTTTCCGATTTTCATAAAATTTATACCAAAATTCTGCACTAATAAAATAAGCTTATATCTCAGAGTAGATAAAAATAGGCTGAAAAACAACGAAGTTATAATGTTTTTTCTATTAATTTCCCGATCGTTCCTATGGCAGCTATATCATATAGTCGTCCGATTTTCATAAAATTTTTACCAAAATTCTGGAATAATATAAAAAGGCTATATCTCAAAAATGATGGAATAATATTGAAAAACAGCCAAGTTATAATTTTTTTTCTAAAAATTTATCGATCATTTGTATGGGAGCTATATGATATAGTCGTCCGATCCGGCCCGTTCCGACATATATAGCAGTGAGAGTATATAAAAGACTATATGCAAAGTTTCATTCAGATAGCTTTAAAACTGAGAGACTAGTTTGCGTAGAAACGGACAGACGGACGGACAGACGGACGGACAGACGGACAGACGGACAGACGGACAGACGGACATGGCTAGATCGACTCGGCTGTTGATGCTGATCAAGAATATATATACTTTATAGGGTCGGAAAGGTCTCCTTTACTGCGTTGCAAACTTCTGACTGAAATTATAATACCCTGCAAGGGTATAAAAATCATTAAAGAAATGTTAACAAATTTATGTATATTTCTTTGAAATGTAACAAGTTCTTTACCCACAAATTAATATAATTTATTAATTAATAAGAGCTAAAATATATATGGTTATAAATATCAGCCAAAAAGACAACTGCTACAAATTTATTTAATAAATTGTTTAAGGTTTTAATGAGCAGGTTTGACCTGTTTAATTATAAAACACTGTTTTATAAGTACTCATAATTACAGGTTCTCCGTCATATTTCTCGCCAAAATATACTCTTGTTGCCACAATTTCAGCTCACGGAGAACTCTGTCGCCGCTGACCGGTTATGCTGGGTGCCACAAGTTGCACTAACTTGTCAAAGGTCGCGGCAAGCGAAAGTGACTTTGTGTCTTGGCTCTTTTCAGGTTTTACTTTTTTATGGTTTTTTTTTTTTGCCAGCCACAAAAACCCGTTCCTGCGGCATGCCACAGGGAGAAAGACACTGGGAAAAGATGCGGCCACACAAGGCAGAAGGCACAATGCTCGTTGCGGTGGCATCGCACTGACCTACATCCCCTCCCAGGCCAGTTGACTCCCGGTTCCAGTTCCAGGTTGCGCAATCGCCGCGAGAGAGAGATATAAAAAAGCACTTAGAGGCTAACCTTCGCATTGGAGGAGTTCGCGTCCGAGTCCGAGTCCGAGGCGGAGTCGAAGTGGGGTTTGGGGGTCGCCTGGGACAGAGAGCCAATGACATCGGCAAAGATACAAAATAGCGCACAATCATTTCGTTAAATGATTTAATTAAGCTAAACAGTCGAACAACACTCCCTCCATTCGATACATTTGATTCGGCTCGAGTGGCATTTCAAGTGTGTGACACATTGGCGTCAAGTTCATAATTCGTAATTCACAATTCACAACTTATATTACTCCGATTTTGGACAAAAGGCGACCAAGTGGCGCTGATCGGGCGACATTGATTGCGATGATCTGGAGCCGAGCGACTTATGGCCGTAAAAGAACTCAGCTCTCCACTTTGATTTGATTTCAATTCGAATTATTTCGATTGGGTTTCCATGGGTTTCGGGTTCGGAGATCTGCAGAACTGGTCTATGGCTTCCATTGCCCACTGTTTCCGTTTTGTTTCTCAAGTTTTCTGTTTGTTTTGCTCCAAAAGAATAAAGGAATTTTGTTGCCAATTGAATGGTTATGCCAAGCCGGGCTTGAATGAGCCGCGAATGAGTCAACAATTGTTGGGTGCCAAGTGTATTCTAAAGACTAGAGGGATACCCCTTTTTCGTACATCTTTACAAAGGTTTTTTTTTGGGTTTAATACCAAGAACTTGTACGTTTAATTGTTTGGTTGTTGGACAATACAAGTTTTACGAATTGCTAAGGAGATGAAAATATTTTTTTTAGGAAGAATAAATTGATTTGGTGATCAAGAATCTATTCATACTTAAGCCTAGTTGTGGTAGAAAATGGAAAAAAATATTAAAAACGAATGAACTTACCATTTTTTGTAATGCAGCCTGAATTTTACATTCAGAACAATTACAAACCACTGTTTAAAATAAAATAAACAAATATCTACTTAGGCATTCTATACTTTTAAAGCATGGAAAAGGTGTTCCTTGGATAAACTAAATCCTAAATCTTCAACACACATAAAAATAAAACAAAAATCATAACAACTCTTTAGCATAATGTATTAATTTTACATTAAACTCAAACAAAAACCTTTATATAAGTCTTCTCCCCCTGTCTTGGCCTTTTTCTTGATGCATTCACAAATACCACAGATTATTTGAACCCATAATTATTTCTTGTTTCTTTGGCATCTTTGTTTGCTTCCCTCCATAGCCATAGTCCGCATCTTCACTTGCCACCAGTTGGACTTGAACTTTGTGCGTGTGCTTTGCTTTTCTCATTTTCTCATCGTTTTGTTTTCGATTCGTTTATAGCTTGTGTTTGTCAAGGCTCCGGAGGAGCTTAGCCCAGTAACTAACAGTGAAGAGCAGACGGGCGGCACCCCCATATGGTGGCAAAAAATTAAATAATTAAACTATGTATGTTGACCCCAAGGCGTTACGATTCGGTTTAGCAAATTGGCAACGCTCGATCGGAGGAGGCTCAAAGCACACACACACAACGCACACACACTTTTTAATTACCCACCGAGAGGTGCGGCTGGCATTTGAACTTGACTTTAATTGGGTTTCAATAAAAATAACAACGATAACAGCACCTGTGGGTTCTCCCTTATTTAGGGTTTGTGGCGCGGCCACTATTTCGTATGTCTTTCACTTTGGTCTTTCACTTTTCATTAACGCGACCAATTGATTGGTGCCGTATGTGTTGTTGTGTGCGGAATGTTATGCAATCCCCCGCCCCGACATTCCGCGATTTCCGATGCCAGAGCTGTCCGGGCCAATTGAATACGGATTACCAAAGTGTAGCAAGTGCAAAGTGAAGTCAAGACCTTGTGGACTGCATATTAAAATGGGCAATAACGGAGAAAACTGCCAGTTAAACTATATACGAGTATGCATAGCGACAGCTATACGCCCCCACTTGGTAGTTTCATCAGCTTTTATGACGGCATGGCGGGACTTCTCCTCGGACGCACTTGGAAATGCTCATAATTTGATAATAGCATCAATTAAACTTGATTGCTGGCTACTCTGCTACAGGTCTATTGTTGCTTCTGTTTGGTAATTAGCACCCAAGCGATATGTTTATATGACAGCAGTCAAAACTTCCCCCCGTACAAGTTGTGTCATTAGTTAGCCACGAAAATGAAGTCATGTTTGCTTAGACAAATTAAATGGATGAACTCTTGTTCTCGCTTCTCTTATCGATAAACCAGCGTAAGAAGAGGCGCGCAGTGGAATCAAAACAAAAGACTTAGGCAACGAACTTTGGCTTGAATTCATAATTTTACGCGCTGCGGATTTCTAGACAGCATTCCCAGCATTGTTGCTCTGGCCGATGTATCATCATCAGCAGCAGCTTCGAGATCTTCATTTGGAAAATATACACTTGCAGGTTGTATATCTAAAGTATATGTTATGGCTGCAATAAACAGGGAATTAGTAGCCACAAAATAAAGATTTTTAAGCTCAGTAAACGCAACAGTAAAAAAGCAGCGGCGTTTTATCCAACACATTTGGTTTATGAGAGAATAAATTGGATTAATATCAGTGTAGCTTAAATTATTTAAATTAGAGTGAAGTTTAAAATTTTTATTCACTTCAATATTACTATTTAAATAAAATCACTTAACATATTTAAATTCTGTGTAAACTGTCAGTTATAAAAGTCAACTTCTGTCTGTTTTTCGTCCAGAAGTTTTCATTTCAATCACATAAAACTAGTGCACTTTGTCTCGTGTCGCTCGTACAGATTTTACAATTTAATTTCTGCCCGCAAAACGGGTTAACCCGGCAGACAAGTTCTTAAGCTGCACTCATGCACTTGTTGCACTGGGAGCTACGCCACATTTATCTGTCTTAAATGCAGATTTTTAATTGCCTGTCTCATAAATTCCAGAGATCTGCGGGCGTAGCCATGCGCCGCAGGTAGTTTGACATTTCGATTGACCTTCACAAAGCCATTAGAACAGGCAGAGCCTCGCAGCTAAAAATAAATATAAAAATAAAATCGCATACCGTTAGGCCGTAACAACTCATCACAGCGTCTCTCGGCGACTTTAAAGTATCGAAATGATAAATAAAAACCAAATTAATTGGCTGACCAAAATAAAAAATACACAGAAAAATGCTAAAAAGAAATATGCTGATGATGTAATTAAGGCGTAGAAAGCGGCAGAGAAAGAGGCTAAAAGATTGATGGCCGGCGCATGTAGATTCTCATCGAAGAAGTTCGGGAAACAAAAGACTTAGGCAACGAACTGCGTTTGAGAGATGGCAGAAAATAGGTTCCCTTGACCACTGCACTTGCCACAGGGGGGGGAAGCTCTCTTAAAAGAGTCTGGCCAAAGAGAGATCTTGGCCCGAACTCTTTGGCTAGCAAAAGCTTTACCAAGCTTTGGACACGCTAAATGCTATTAAGCCAACTTAGCCATGAGGCGACAAGGCGACGAAACAGCACAAAAAAAAAGCCCACAAGACATACCGAACGTAACCGAACTTACGGTACGAAGTAAGGTAAGGTAAGGTAAGGCCGCCAGGTAAGCTCTGCTCTGCTCTGCCAGCGTTGCTGCCTCGGCCAGCTGCGCCGTCGCTGTCGCTGCTGCTGAAGCCCAGCTCTGCTCTTGAGTCTTCAGTCGAGTCGCGAAAGTCGTCGAGTGCGTTTGGTTCGCTGGAACGTCGGCAGTCCGGCAGAAAAATACAAGAAAAACCCCAGCCTCTAAAAAAAAAAATACAATAAAAAGCTAAGAAAACACAAAACTAAAATCTCTTTTTCGAGAAAAGAGTAAGAGTTCAGCTTTGATCATCACGAAATTTTGTGTGCGCAGTCGTCATCGCGGTCGCCGTTATGCAATTCGAAGTGCGTTCATAAAATGATGCCCGAGATAGCAACAATTTCGATTTAATTAATTTCTTTTTTCGGGGGAATTAGAAATTTGTGTGTGCGAGTTTAATAGACGCATAAATATACTGTTTCGCCAAATTGCTTTCGTTGCCGTGCGTTCGCTTCTCGATGTCAAAATTAAAATGCCAAATTAAATATTAAAATTATTGCAAACTCGTTTCCCCAACGCCGACATAGCAGCAGCAACAACAACAAGGCCGAAAAAGTGAAATTAATAAAGTGAAAAGAGCACCAACGCGAAAGGAATTGAAATTGTAACACAAAGGCAATTACAAAATCAATATAAATAATAATAGAAAATCATTGTTACAGCATATATCAAGTAAAGTAAACTAAAGAAATAAATTATAGCCAGAGAGAGATATAACAACAGTTAGGGGCAAACACTTTTCCTCGAACGCAGCTCTCTGTCGTCGGGCCTGCGAATACGTAATCATTGGGAAAATATCAGCAATTTTGCAACAGTTTCGACACAACAACAACAATAACAACAGCTACAACAGCGGCAACACCAACAACTGCAGCAGCAGCAGAGGCAGCAGCGGCAGCAAAAACAAAAGTAATTGAGCAGAAAGGTGAGTTGGGAGGCCAAGCGACACGCATGCAAAGCAGAAAAAAAAACTTTAAAAAAAAAATGCATTAAAAATATACAGAGAAATAAGAGAAACCCTAGGAGAAACCCTAAACACCTGCTGCCTTCCTGGAAACACCGAACCCAAGTGTCCATTCATAATCACACTTTTTTCTCTAACTGTTTAGCCGCCCGACTTCCTGCTTACGCGTCTTTTTCTATAGTTTCTACGGCTCTTTGCCTGTTTTGTTTGTTTGTTGTTTGTTTGCTGTTAGTTTGGCGTGTTGCCTTTGCTACACTTCAGTTTCATTTTCATTTAAATGCGAACACAAAACGGTGCTGGAGCTGGAGCTGAAGCTAAAGCCGGAGCTCCAACTACAAGCCGCTCTCAAGGTTGACAACATCTCTCTTTGTTGGCTAGTTGGGCGGTTTTTTTTGTTTCTGTTTCTTCTGATTTTTTGGATTGTTGGATTGCGTATTCGCATTTGAATATTATCATCGAATTTGGGCAGTTTTTTTTTGGTTGGTTTCGTAAATAGTTCCTCGAACGATTAGTGCTGAATTAGAAGCACAATGTCAAGTCATTTTGAGTTCAACAAACATCGAGTTTCTTGTATTTCTTAACCAATGTTTTTTCTCTGAGCAAAACACTGAACAAAAAATGACTTCTTGAAGCAAAAAGCTGCTTATTCTGGTTGCTCTTGACTATTGATTTATTTAAATTTAAATTTAAAACAAAAATTCAACTGAATGTCAAGCTATTTTGAGTTATTCATCTCTTTTTGACTTTACCTGTCTTTCAATCTTTATATTTATGAATTTTTATTGTTAGCTGTATGTGCACTGAAGAAAATAATTAACAAATTATTATGGAAATTTTATCTTTTGTGATATGATGATTTTATTTGTAATTTAACTCTGATTAATTGCTAAACAAAATTTTGATTAAATGTGACAATTAATAATAAAGTTGTTTTAAATTAGAAATATATATTTCTTTAGCTAAAAATAGGTTTAAAATTTATAAAATTATGCCTAGAAAAATTAAAAATATTTCTTTCAAGTCGAAAACTAAATATACAATGACATTACTAGGTTTTTAAGTGTTTTTAAGCTCTTTTCAAAAATGGTTTCATTTCTAGTTTGAAGTCACCTTTTTCACGTACTTGCTCTTCTTAATATTATTTAAGTTTCCTAAAAATTAACTTAATTAAAAGTACATTTTTCTCAGTTTAAACATGACCCTGGTGTCTGAGCAGATGGATGAGTTTGTGTCTGCCAACACGCCTTCGAAAACAAATGCAGTTAATAATTAAGCGAGGCGGCCCAAAAAATAAAAAAAAAAGCAGCACCAAGCTAAAAATGTGCAGTAGGTGTTGCCATTCCGATTCCGATTGCGACAATTGCCCCGACATACATATATACTTACATATACAAAGGTGTATATATCTGAATGAAGAAGCTGATGAAGAGCCCGAGCGGCAGAGGAAGGAAGTCGATGTCGGCATGAGTTTGCAGTTTCATTGGGCTTCAGCCTTAGCTTCAGTTACAGCTTGAGATTCAGATACAAACTCAGCTACAGCTTCTCATCATCACATCACCTCTGCAGCTTCAGCTTCAGCTTCAGTATCTTTTTTTTTGTGGGAGTCAATTAGTGGGCAAAATTTAAATACAAGTGACGAACGTTGGGGCAAGGGAGCTTCGCTTCAGCTGCTGCCATGGCACCCAATTATGCATCCATAAATGTAAACAATCGTCGAAAAGACCTCTAAAGTGCGGTGGCAGCTACAAGAAAACAACAACAGCAACAACAACAACAAATTCGAGAAGAGAAGTGCTGAAATCCGTGCTGGGCAAAAGTTCAGCCAGGTTCTGCTGGCAGACAATACTTGTAACGTGGCGGCCAAGCGAGCTAATGGGAAATGTCAGTCAGTTGGCAGACAACGTTGACTTCATTTACATTTTCCCAACAAATGGGTTCGAGTTAGAGTCCGAGGAGCCTGAGAGAGACTGGAGCTAAAGACCCAAAAAAAGGTCGCGCAATAAATTCGTTAAGTAACTCTTACAGCTGCCGTCGCCGCCTTTTAGCCCCAAACTATATTCGTCGGTCTTGGCCAAAAATTCCAATAGAAAGAATTTGCATTTGACCGATTAACCGTTCTTTCACTCTCTTTGTGCTTCTGGCCATTTCTTTTCCTTTCACGCTGCGCGCATATTTCATGAGCCATCAATGGCCGGCTTCCAATTTATTTAATTTCAAGCCATTCCCCCACTCCAAATGGGAACCGTTCATTAGCGGGGAAAATGGGTTAATCTTATGCAGGGTTTTGGGAATACAGTGCGGGTAAAGAAAATAGCAATAAGAATTGATAGAAGCTTTTATAAAAAAATATTTCTAAAAGATAGAGGTATTGGTACCACCTCTGTTGTACATTCTTTATGAAGACTCCACACCTTCAAAAAGACCCCCAATAAAACAATACTTTCAAGAGTGCGTGCATTCGCTGGCTTGAGAGTTAATTAAACCGCTGATGTGGTGGCTGGCGCCAGCAAAGTGTGAAAGAGACATTAGGTTTGATGCCCAGGCACGTGTGGCGGCTGCTGTTCGGCGATTAGCCCGATAGACAGATACAAAGATACTCAGATACAAAGATACTCAGATACAAGATACTCAGATACAAAGATACTCAGATACAAGATACCAGCGGATAGGTAGATAGCTTTATATAGAGAGATGCCGCGTTGATGGCCTTTAACGCCCCTCCACCAGACAAAGGCATCTTTATTAAAACATTATTTCGGGCCATTGTTGCGCCTTCTCGGTGTATAAATTGCATTTTAAATACAATTTCTGTAGCGTTTTTTTCTGTGGGCCGATAGCTGACTCAATCAGGCGAACAAAGCGCTTCAACACAAATATTATGATCTATCTGATTGTTACACACAAACTTCCGCTGCTCATTATCATTATCAAATATCATTATGATGCTCTCAGCCAGCGAACTATACAAAACTGTGGAAAGTGAAAACCTGGATGATTTTTTGATTGCAAGCATTTGATAAGCACTAAATGAAGGCAGGAGAAAAGAGATAGACAGAGGAGGCGATGAGTGAGAGAGAAATTTTGTCATTTATTGAGCCAACTAATGATGGTCAACGTAACACAAGTGCACAGAAAGAAAAAAGGTGGTTTAAGTGGGTTCTGAGATTTAAAATATGTAAATGAAGAAAGAAACTTTTAAATTAAAGTTTTGAAATCCTTTTTAAAGAATATATCTATATTAAGATATTTATAATAAAAAAAGTTGATGAAGAAATTTAAAAACTTTGGAAATGTATATATAAATTAATATTTATTATAATTTTTTATTACATTTATGAGCGATAAATAGATTGGAAAAAGACACAGTAATAAGATAATTGTAATATTTTTGGTAATATATAGGTATATTTTTAATTTAAATCTGATACTTTTCTATATTAAAAATATAGTTAATATGATTTTGAGTAGGATATTTTGATCGAAACATCATATCGTTCTTTTTCATTTGATAAATATCCCAACTACAGTGGTCAATAATGTAAAGTTCTAACGTCTTTTAATGATTTCTTTTAATTTTAAATCGTGTAATTAGTATTTAAAATTCCCTTTATTATTACAAATTGAATATGTATGAAAATTTCGTCTTAGCAGCAGAAACCATTATTAATTTCTATCGTAAAACCTCAAGATACCAAAATGAGTCAGGAAATGCTTAAAGTTACCCTCAATTCGTTCTGTGTTCTGTTGAATTTCCGGCTTAGAAATTTGAGGTTTTCAAGTGCCATGAGACTTTTTCTTGGTGTAGCTCTCTTTCTTTTCTTTTTTTCTTCTTTTTTTGTTACTAAAAGAAATCAGTTTCAGTTTCGTTTACAGTTTTCGGTTTCGGTTTCAAACTCACTCGGTTGTGGAAAATTTAGTGCAACGGCGGGCTGTCATAGCTTCAGCTTCAGCCTTAAATTGCTTCGTTTACACAGCTCTCTTTTGGGTTGTATCTAACCATCTCTTTCTGATCGTAGCTGTTGCTCTCTTTCACTCCCTGGAAGCGTTTTGGAGCAGTTGAAGCGTGCAGGCGAAAACGAAAGCAGAAGCAGCCCCTCAGTTGCAGTCTTCTTTTTTTTTCGTGTGTTGTTGAATTTCGTGTTTTGTTTTTTTGAGTTTTTCTTGATTTTTTGTTGTGTTTTTTTGTGTTTCTGCTTTTCACTCTAGTTGAAGTTGTAGCCTGTATTTTTATTTTGCTTTTTTTGGCCAGCAAATTGTTGCACGGACCTCGCTTTTGGTCAGGGCAAGTTGGAACGTAACGCGAAAATGCGGAAAAAATTCGCTACGTTTTAATGAAAGTGTCAACTCGTTTTTCATGGGGCTTATGTTGTTTTTTTTTTGTTGATCAAAAGCAAAACTAATTTGTGGGATTGGAAATAAGTTTTGATGAAAATTGCGGAAAATACTACTTTTTTACGCAGTGCTTTTCATTTTGCCAGCAGCTTCATATTTATTATATTTCTGATCATATATGGAGATTTATGACATTTTTTGGTTGCGTATGAAAATAATTTAAAACTAAAGAAAGTTTGGGTTTTTTTTATTAGATTTTTCCATTTTGGTTAAAGCTTTACAGTTGGGCTATGATTTATTACTTTTTATTTATAGGTTTTTAAGCTTGCTTGTGGCTTTTTTTAAATAACATTCAATAATATTAAAAGGAAAATAGAGAAAAACATAATAATTAAACTGGTTGCTTTATGTTTTCTCTAGTTTTATATTTAATATATTTTTATTTTACACATTAAAAAGCTTTAAATGGATTTTTCAATATTATAAAAAAGGAAACCTTTTGAAATATATGAAATTTTTATTTTTTAAACCAGGAAAAACATTATAAATTTAAGCAGCCAATAAAATGGAGCTAAACCTTAAATAGTACCTGTTTTTATTACTTTTTTATTATTAGGAAATATGATTAT